CCCTAAACCCTAAACCCTACCCTGGTCGCTGCTTTCAGGGCCGACCCAGGGGTCGACTGTGAGGCGGCAGCCTCCCGCAGAGGAAGAAGCGCCGCTCGGCCTCAGAACCGGGCCTTTCGGATTGCCTTTGGGTTTTTAGGGTTTACGGGTTTAGGGGTTTAGGGCTTAGAGGTTTTAGGGGATTTAGGGGATTTAGGGGTTTAGGGGTTTAGGGTTTAGAGAGTTTAGGGGGTTAGGGGTTTAGGGTTTTGGTTATTGTGGGGATCCAAAACGGACGTAAACAGAAGCATTGTATAGGGAGATCCTTACCTTTTAGGGCTTCATGATACGGGGGTTTAATAATTGGGATATTATCCCTATTCTATTTGTTTTTGCTTATGTTCTTTTTTGGGGCCCGGTTTAAGGGTTCCTTTCGGGGATGTATAGGCGTCCATGGAAGGGATCCTTCAAGGATCTATAGGATTGAGGGTTTCGGGTTTGGTGTGTGTTTCTTTCTGGGTTATGGGTTCTACAAGGGAGCCCTAAGCCCTAAACCCTAAACCCCAAACCCTAAACCTTTCCTTAAGGGGTTCTTTCTGAGGCTTTTGGGCGGGGGGGTTGTTCAGCTTTTCCGTTCTTTTAGGCCTCTAAAGGTTTAGGGTTTAGGGTTTAGGGTTCCTTTGAAGTTTGGGGTTTTGGTGCTTGAGGCCTTCATCACTCACGAGGATCCATGAGGCTTTCCTTGAAGGGTTCTACAAGGGATCTCGAGGGGCTCTATACTTTGCGGATCATAGGACTTAGCAACCAGGGTTATAAAAACAAGTAACTATACTGATGAATACTTCTAACCCCAACTAGGGTACTTATTAGAGCATCCGTCAAAACTTCAGTAAGTGTAGTTAAGAGTATGGTGGTCGTGGAATGTCAGATGGGCCAAAACCATCGAAAACTAATAGGACCTCCCCCAAAAGCGATACGATCAACAAAGATCATCTGTTGTGACATTTCTGTGCTGCCGCGGCATTTGTGCCTAAATTTTCCGTGTGATATGTGGCTAGGCATTCGATACCCTAATCGATACCCTAATCGATCCCGACTAGTTCGTTTCGTGACCAAATGCCCATTCTGATGGACATAGGGCAGTATAGGGCAGTGAAGAGACTAAAGGGGAAGTAGAGGGCGGCAATGGGCAATAAAGGGCAGTAAAGGGTAGTATAGGGCGGTAGAGGGCAGTAAAAGGCAGGAAAGGGCAGTATAGGGCAGTAAAGGGCAAGGGCAGTATTACTGGGAGTAGGATCAGTGAGTCTGATGGTCTTCTTACTTTCACAAGGGCAAAGCGATACCCCACAGACACGTTTAGCCAAATCTCTGTAAAGCGAGAAGACCCACCCCAAAACATCCATGGTTTGGCCACGAACAACAAGTTTTGACAAACGCTCTTATGTCCTTACTTACGAAGTCCTAGATGATCCGGAGTTTTATGGGTGCCTATAAAGGGTTTACGGTGTAGGGTTTTAGGGTTAGGGTTTAGGGGCTCGTAGGTTACCGGCAAGTCGCTCAGCAACGCTGACATCGCGGCGTTGTATGCGAGCAAGCTCAACACGGAAGCGGAGGACAAGAACATCACCGTGGCGAACAAAATCCTGAAACATGCTTCCCTGCGAGATTTGATCCTGCATTGCGAGCGCGGCTGGCTGTAGGAACGTGAGCTTTGTTGGAAATTGCTTGTCACTCACCTTCTCCAACAGCTGCCTCCATCTGCAGCTGTTTCGAAGGAAGCGGCAAGTTTTGCGGGAAGTCGCTTTCCCAGCCGTCATGCCGCCCCGTCGCAACAGTGGTGGAGGCTCTAAGAAAACAAGAGCACCAGGTTGCATGATCTGAGCAAAGCCTTCACCCTAACCCCTAAACCCTAAACCCAAAATCCTAAACCCTAAACCCTAAACTCTAAACCGGGCAGCCTGCAAGCACAGTGCCGGCAGGATGCCGTGGGTCATGAGCCTCAGGGAGCTGCGGGTCTTGCCAGCATGATGCCAGCGGATTTCTCCGGGCACTCCGCGAGGCTCTAAGCAGTGGGGTTTAGGGCTTAGGGTTTAAGGTTTAGGGTTTAGGGTTTAGGGTTTAGGGTTTCAGGTTTAGGGTTTAGGGTTTAGGGGTCCAGGGTTTAGGGTTTAGGGTTTAGTGTTAGAGTGGACCTCTTTCTGAGGCAGCTGGAGATGAAGAGTTTCCTCCTGGGCACCTGCCAGGACGGCAAGAACCTGCCGGAGATCAAAACCCTAAACCCTAAACCCTAAACCCTGAACCCTGAACCCTAAACCCTAGCAAAGACTCCGGGGAACTCTTCAGCTCTCCCACTTCCTACCATGAGCAGCTTCACTCCTTGACCGAGTCAGAGGCGGTTTAGGGCTTTAGGGTTGTAGGGTTTTAGGGCTGTTAGGGTTTTCGGCTTAGGGTTTCAGGTTTTAGGGTTTCAGGGTTTTAGGGCTGTTAGGGTTTAGGGTGTTAGGGTGTTAGGGTTTCAGGTTCAGGGTTTAGGGTGTCAGGGTGTTAGGGTTTAGGTTTGGGGTTTTAGGGTTGTAGGGTTTTAGGGCTGTTAGGGTTTAGGGTGTTAGGGTGTTAGGGTTTCAGGTGTAGGGTGTTAGGGTTTAGGGTTGTTAGGGTTTAGGGTGTTAGGGTTTTAGCGCTGTTAGGGTGTTAGGGTGTTAGGGCTTTAGGGTTTTAGGGTTGTTAGGGTTTAGGGTGTAGGGTTTTGGGGTGTTAGGGTTTAGGGTTTTAGGGTTTTAGGGCTGTTAGGGTTTAGGGTATCGATCTCCCCTGGCAAGCCCCGTGGCCGAGTTCGGCCCGTTCTTTCGTGTTCTTAGGGTTTTCCGGGGCTTTCGGCCCAGGAGTCCCTGGAAGCTTGCCTTCAAGGCTTCCTTAACGGGGGTTCTTTCTCCGGTTTGAGGTGTTCTTGCTGAGGTTTTAGGGGTGTTGCAGAGGTTTGCGGTTTTAGGCTTCTGGGGTCCTTTTCCAGTTTTGGGTTTGGGGTTTTGGGCCTGTTGGGTTCTCTGAAAGGGTGTCCCTAAGGCTCTTTCAGGTTTAAAGGTTTCACTAAGATTTCTAACTTCCTGTCCTAGGCATTCCGTCATCATGTGCCTGTAGAGCTGGTAGAAGCTGCTACTTCTGCAAAAAACTACAGTCTGCTCTGCCTCAAGGCCCTGTTTCGGCGCTGATGCGCGGGTCGTTGTGCAAGGACTGCAGGCATCGGGTTACGATCGGTTAAAGAGGGCTTGGGATAGTTTTATGGATTCGTAGAGGAATTCGGAATTCGTCATAAGTCTGGGAGCTTGTCACAGCGTTTTGTTTCTTTTTGCTTAGTTATGGTCAAGCGGTGCTGAAGTTTGGGCTGTAGACCGGCAAGTGTGCAAACATAGCTTCAAAGAGTGTTTTTGCCTACTGCACGGATGTGCGGCAAAGCGTTTACTGCAGGGATCTTCCGTTGGCTGCCGATAAACCCTAAACCCTAAACCCTAAACCCTAAACCCCTTTTACTGGCAGTCCAAGTGCCAGTCAAGAGGAGACCACTTTGCATCCGCTGTCAGGGAGCTTCGAGGAGCTCTTCGGGCTCCCAGCGGTTCTTGTAGAAGGAGACGATACAGAGATGATAGGGGTTTAAAATTTAGGGTTTAGGGTTTAGGGTTTAGGGTTTAGGACATGTTCTTTCGGTGTGTTCTGGGAATCAGTTGAGTCTGATCCCCGAACTGATACCAATGGTGCGGCCTACCACCGATGCGGCCACCTTAACGGAGGACCTGGTGGCGGAGCATCAGCGGCTCCGAGAAATGGCCATGACAGGGCTCTTGCTGAAGAGCTTGAGCATCGATGCCCGCGACATTGCACACATCCCACTCTTGGTCCAACCTGGAGAAGGGTGTCCCGTTGATCCCGGGTGACTGCATCCTTTATCTGAGCATTCTAATCCTACTACATACTGGAGTACTGTTTGTTCAGCAGTTCATATAACGGCCTCATCTTCGAACCCCAAATCCCAACCCCAAAACCTAAACCCAATCGCCGACCTCAAATCGAACATGTTTTAGGAACTGCACACACCTGGTGGACCCAGCCAGGTTATTTCAATAAAGAAAGCCTACTTGGGGTTTAGGTGTTTAGGGCTTAGGGTTTGTTTGGGGACTAGTCTTAACTTCACTCCTTTTGCTTAAATCCGCTTTAAGTTTCAACCCTCAACCCTTAACTGCAACCTTGAACCTAAAGCGTATTGCCTGCCAGAGCACAGACAAGCCGGAAGCAGTGAATTTCAGCCTTGTGCCAGTTCCCAGGCTCGGATCGTAGGCAAGGATGCCCAAAGTAGGAGTTTCCGAAATCAAGGGGTACCTTATTCTGGGGTCCTTACAACAGGGATCCTACTATTTAGGGTACTATATTAGGGTCCCCATTTTCGGAAACCCCCAAGTAGGTGTCAGGTTTTAGGGCAGCTTTTGGACGGTCATGGGACTTCGTAACGATACTGGTAGGGCTACAAAAATGTAACCGCAGTTATAGTTACTTATAAGCCCAATTTGGGGTTGGTCTTACTTACTAAGTCCCCGGATCCTTCCTGTAGAGTGCTTTAGGGGAGGTTTAGACATTTAGAAACCGGTTTTGAGGGTCTTGAGCCTAATTAAATTAGTAGTAGTAATAGTTATGAGAATAAGAATAGTAATGGCCATAATCATAATCATGATAGTAGTAATCAATATTCCTTAGAAAGAGGAGAAGGGTTATTGATTCGGGGTCACTACCCTAGTTCCAGTACGGATAGCAGCTTTGCGTTTCGCCGAAACCCTGCCAAAGGCAACCCTACTTAGAGGATCCTGTGACTTAGTAGGTAAGGTCATAAGCACCCCAACTTGGATTATACAAATATAAGTACTTTTGAAGTATGGTTACCTCTGTTATGACCCTAGTCACTCAGTCCCATAATTGTCCAAGTAAAATCCTGTAGACTCCGAGCCGCTAACTATGATACCGGCATAAGCCAATATAATTCAAGACCCAAATTTCTGAGATTCTGAACCCCCCCAAGACCCCTAAACACCCCCAACCTCCTAAACCATAAACCTTAACTACATGCAGTAAACCTCACTCAAACCGTAAATCCAAGTCCCAAAACCTACGGCCTGCCACTCGACTGCAGTTCTGAACATCCGGCTCCACACCCGAACACCCTGAAGCCCAGCACTAGGGTTTAGGGTTTAGGGTTTAGGGTTTAGGGTGTAGGGTTTAGGGTACCCTGAGATTTCGTTTAGGGTTTAGGGTTTAGGGGACGGAACGCACTTCTTGGAAAGCCCACACCACTTTGACCCGTAAGCCCTAAAAGCCAAGCGTTAAACAAGCCCTTGAAGCCTAAGAACTCAAGCAGGTGCGGCCCGACCTCAACGGCAAACTCGGTAGCGTGGTGACCTGGGACACAGCAGAGCACCGGTACAAGGTGCTTCGGCAGCCTAAGGAGTCCAAGACAATTTCCCAAGTGTCCACTTAATTAGATGATAGAAACTCTGGCCAGAGATACACGATTTGGCGTTTAGGGTTTAGGGTTTAGGGTTTAGGGTTTAGGGCTATATACTACAGAAGTACATGGACAGTCAGGGTTTATGTGGGAGGTAGGGTTTAGGGTTTTAGGATGAAGCGTCTGAGGCTTCCGTCGCTTGCGAGATAGGGCCTCCGCTGTGTCAGATAATAAAGGATACCCAGAGGGCACCATATTCGCTGACTAGAGAGCCCAAAACCCAAAGCCGCTAAACCCCTAAGCCCTGAACCCTGAACCCTAAACCCTAAACCCTAAACCCTATAGACCCTAAAACCCTCAAACCCTAAACCCGCAGAGATCCCTGATATCCTTTGAGGTCTTTGGGGTTTGGTGCTTGGGTACCGCCGGAATTCTTCAACCTAAAACCCGACACCCTCAACCCTAAACCATATGCGGCCAATATGCGGCTTCCTGGTAGTGAGCGGGGTGTTTGGATCTGGGCGTCTAGGATTCAGGATTTAGGGTTTAAGGGTTTAGGGTAGTAGCTTCGCATAGTTTAGCCCCCAGTCTTGTTATAACCAAGGCCCCTGTCTTGGACGACGTGTATTCATGGTACGGGGTTTAGGCGTCCGTGTATGACATTCAGGTTCTAAGTAAGTTACGGCCTTATAGTCCTATACCCAAAACACTGAACCCAGAACCGGACTAATTATTTCTGGACTAGCACTTAGTGGGGGGCTTCGGGTTCCGAGGTCGGGTCGGGGGTCCTTGAGAAGCTCAGATGTGACATGTAGGGTTTAGGGTTGGGTTTAGGAACCTGATTCAGGACGTCGGGTTCAGGGATGCAGAAACCACAGTCACTTCTCTGAGCCTTCACGTTCTGGGGCTTGCCCCTATGTGTTTGGGCCATGGCCAGGGTATCGATACCCGAAACCCTTGCAATCGTGGCTGAACGGTCTTATGGTTTGATATGAAACGCCGTTCTGCAGGGTGTCTGATTGGTAGATGCTTTGAGGAGTCTGGGTAACTATACCCGAAACCTTGGAGGTGTTAAAATTCGGCAGGCATACCACCAAGCGCAAGGGAGTCGAACCACTTCACATGACGGTTGTTCTGAAGGTCATTATATACAGCATCTACAATACACTTCCTTCCAAACCTACCTTATGCGTGTTTTGGTCGGGCCAGATATGGTGAAGAACTGCCATGCTAAACCCTACATTCTAAACCCTGGAAGAAACAATGCTTACAGTACCTCATGCAGTGTGTTTTTTTGCCTGGTAATTTGGTGCGCAACGTGGCTGGCGGCTAGGATTTAGTCCCAAGCCCTAAATCCAGTTAGGCTTTGATGATGGAGCCCCGTCGTGGTGGTTGTTGAATGTAGCATGGTGGACGGGACAATTATCCAGAGCCTCCACAAGTACTACCATTATGGAGTTGGGGCCCAAACGACCGTCCTTACTAATGTGGTTATGGGGACCCATTTTATAATGAGGAGCCTCTTGGGAATGTCCCCTTTACAGCCCCAAACCCGTTTTTTGGACTCTCTGAAGTTGGTACTTGTATTCAGTAAAATGAGCATCTCCCAGAGTAGGCGTTTGTTGTTGTCCTTCCTTTTGAGAAGGGCGGGGGGTTTGGTTTTAGGTTTGGGGACCCCGCACCTCCAAGTTTAGGGTTTAGGGTTTAGGGTTTAGGGTTTAGGGTTTAGGGTTTAGGGAATCCTTACCCCAGGCCCCTAAACGTGAAGAGCCCTGAGCGTCTGAATCCTAAGCTCTAAACCCTACTTGGAGGATCAGGGGACTTCGTAAGTAAGGCTATAAGTAATCTAATTGGGGTTATTTGTAATTATAACTATAGTTACCGTATTTATAACCCTAGTTACTAAGTCCCATGATCTTCCAAGTATTGATAAGCCCCAAACCTTTAATCTTCAACCCTTACTGTAAGCGCAAAGTCCGCAAACCCCAAAACTGTAAGCCCTCAGTAGAAACGAGGTGCAGCTGGACGATGGCACCGGTAAGATGCTACGGCCTGCCAACCTGCGACTGGCAACGGTGCAAGGCCGCCATAGCTTTCTTTCGGTTTTGCCTGAGGTCAGGGGTATTGTAAGTCCTTGTAAGGTGTAGCAGTTACATAGTTGCAGTTTGCCCAAAGTGCCCAATGTCACCTAATCAAGGAAGATGGCTTGGATAAGCTATAGATGGTTCCAGCTGAGGTATATTATGGCATATTATCATAGCGAAGCCTAAACCCTAAACCCTAAAGGGCACCGGTTTTTCTGGGAAGGGTTTGTGGGAGGCCTCTGGCTTGTGGGTTAGTATTTCGTCCATTCGGTTGTTGTGGGTGTATGCAGACGGTTTGAGGGGTTTCTACCAGGGTTCTACAACTTAGTTCCCCAATACCCAACCTTTAAACTTATTGGGTTCTTATAATTTGGTAGTAATCTGAAAGTTAAACCCTTTATTTCCCTGGCTTGTTGGGGAAGTAAGACAAAGGTTCTACGAAGGCGTTCGAAGGGTTCCAAGAGGCTTAGGTAGGCCTTGGGGATATGTGTTTTTCCTTGTTCGGCTTCACAGGATCTTATTTACGAACAAGTTTCAGGGGCCAACCAATTTTGTGCAAGGCGTTTGTAGCTTTTTTAAGGATTTCACAGCTACACTCCAGAATTTTGCTGCCCAAGAACCTGCATCATCCTAAATCCTAAATCTCAAAATCCGACATGTCCAAAATCTAAAGCCCTAACCCTAGACTTTGGCCGCTAGACGCGCTTGGATTTTTTAGGGATGCGTTTGGAAGGTCCGCCGGCTAGAGAGGTTGGCTCAGCGTTTCACCGAAACGCAACGCATCAACCCCAGCCCAGACCCGTCAAAGGAATTTTGTATTCCAAGTTCTAACAGTTTTAGGGTTTACGGTTTAGGTTAGCCAGCACCACATCCCAGCTAACTGTCTGACCAATGCCGCGCATGCCTCGTGACAGGGTCCTGGTCAAGCAGTTGCCATGACGTTTTCGTATACCGGCTTGGTGGTTATGTTATGACGGCGGTTGTCAGAAGTAGTGTCAGTCCAAACAGTAGGGTGTCGCAATCCTTTTAGGCTGTTGAGTAGTGCTTGAAGCCAAGATAGGCATACAACCCCAAAGTCCAAATCCTTACAGCACCCCTGTAGTACCCTCAACGGGACTCCCAGATGAACCTTAAATTAAAAAACCCTAAACACCCCAAACAGAAACAACAAAAATCTAGAGATCCTTTTGCAGGACTAAGCCCTAAGCCCTAAAAAACAAACCTAGAGGTCCTGCTAAAGGAACCCTAAAGCCTAAACCCTAAGCCCTAAACCCTAAAAAACAAACCTAGAGATCCTTTAAAGGAGCCCGGAAAATCCTAGAGATCCCTTTAAAGGAGCCCGGAAAATCCTTCTGTGCTTCCTCAGACGACCCACGGCTGGGCGCACCCGAAGTCAGCGGCAGCTCCCTCGTCTTCCAGGTTTAGAGCCGGTCGGTTTATGGGTGAGGGTTTAGGGTTTAGGGTTTAGGGTTTAGGGTTGAGGGTTTAGGGTTTTAGGGCTTAGGGCTTAGGGTGTACGAAATATGGGGGCACCTTATTTTGGGGTCCTTAAAATAAGGATCCTACTACTTGAGGGTTTAGGGTTTAGGGTTTTAGGGTTTGGGGTTTTGGGGTTGAGGGTTTAGGGTTTAGGGTTTAGGGTTTAGGGTGTTGAGGGTTTTGGGTTTAGGTTGTTCGGGATTTGGGACTTCAAGGGCCCTAAGGATGTTGGCTGTTTTTTGATTCCAGAA